AAGAGACAAATGTGATTACGTAGGCAAATTGGCCCATGAGCACGACACCGACGTTGGCTCTACAAGAAACCTCTTTGGGACATTGCGGAGCAGCGTAGGATACCAAGATATAAAGCGATATCATATCTCCTCTCACCTATCCGTGGATCCACAAATCCACAATATATCGATGGTTCAGTTCCATGCAGCAACAAGTCAAAAATCATTGTTTTGAGAAATTGAATGTTAAAGATTACAGGTTTTTTGAGATTGTAATAAACAACAGATTAAAGTCATTCAGTCAGATTCATTTATTTGTTCTGAGATTGTTGGTAGCAGACCGTCTCATAACAATAATAAGTCACAAAAAGTAGTTGTTTTAATAATTTTAAAGATTTTTGCATCTTCATATTTTTTCATTATAGAAAACTTTTAACTTAAATAGACTACTCTTTTCACATTTATCCTGCAAACCACCTAGCCTAAACTACACACTTCTAATCCGAATCACTATTATCTGCTGTAGCTGTTATCAACGTACAGGGTAGCTCTTTATAAAAAGTCCAGTATTGACTGGGAATGGCATTACTGTTACACACAAATCCACCAAATCCTTTTTTTTTTCGCTTGTGAAATTTTAATGCATGTTTTATACACCTTTGTAGGTTTAATGTCGCTATCATGACCTCGTCTAGTTTTATAGTGGACATCAATTTAATGCAGATATGCAGTAAGGTAATTCAAAAGCCAGAAACTTTGTGTTTCAACTTTTAATAACTATAAGAATGTTAAAACTAATATTAATAAAACAGCGTGTTCGACACCAGTATTTACTTGACTTACGTGACAACTTAGTTGACGTTGACAACTGAAAGACAGGGTATGACCCGTAATTAACAAACTATACTAACTATCCGTACAACTGGATTGCCATTGCTGCTTTACTACAACACAATTTCACTAAATTCATTTTCTGAATATGACTTTTTATAAGAAATTGTAAATGGATTACTCTTCATTTCTTTAAAAGCACACATTTCATTCCACTGCATATTTGCACCGTTGATGTCTTTATTCAAGTTTTTTCCTATTGCTGCTTCCAGAGACTTTATATAAAAAAAATCGCTGCAATTAATTTCAATGCATTTATAAGCCTTGCCAGTCTTCTTAGCAAGCCTTATTATTGGGATGAGTTGCTTGGGGGTGCAAATAGGCCCACTTTGAAGGCATCGTTTTTTTTTTTCGTTTAACAACTAAAAATGTGTACGTGATTTCGTCAATGGATTCAATAGTATTTGCTCAATGCAATAACAAATAGACAGGAAATTTATTTTTGTGTTGTCCAGCGCAATTGTCAGAGTAAAAGGTCTTTATTCTTTGAGTGGTGTTTTAGAAAAACATGCAAAACATTTTAAAAAAGCATTTTAGCAAAACAGCTGCCAATCTCATTTGCCTCACGATTGCCCAGGCCTTCATGTCATTTAAACAGTAACCTTGTTTTCAATAACATCATAGATGGTAAAGTTATAAGTAGTTAGACGTCGTTTATAAAAAAAGCGCTGATGGTCCACACGGCACAGAGAGAACAGCCTGCAGATCAAAACAAGGCACTAGTAGTTTTGTGTTATTTATTGTTGCAGATTTGATATCATTTTCTTTCTCCACTCTTTTTTCTCTTTTTCTTTAATGCGTTTTTCATAACGCGCTTGTTTTAAATCCTCCTCAGAATTTTTGAAACATTCGCAAATCATACACTGGTTCTTTTTTGGTTGAAAAAACCCCATATTAAATTCTGAATTAAAAATCATCTCATATATATGCTTTTTTGGCAAATTGTTTTTCTTCGTAATGTGTTTTATACAGTCTGTATATCGATAAAATTTTAAGGCTTCCATCTACGTATCGCTTATTGGTATCAGCAATAATTGAAAAATATTTTATGTATTTTCGAATATCCTCTTTTAGAGCATCGCTTCTTTCTTCCCAACTTTCTTGTGCTTTTCGATCATATCTAGCTGCAGAACCCCACTCTCATCTTTTTTCTTGCTAGCAGTAAATATAAGTTTAATGCTTATGTCCAATGTTCTCAAGTAAAATGTCTTGAATGCCATATTTTTTTGCCGTTTAATTCAAATTGGTAAACACAGTTTTTAGACCCGTTACTACTGGGTGTATGCATTCTATATTTAGGATTGATTTGTTACATACATTGCAAAAATGTGTTTATGAATTTCATCGCGCGCTTCTTCAGGAAAAAGATCTCTGCACTGTAGCCTGCAATACTCATTCCAAGGCGGTCCAACTTTACGAGCAACAACTGCTTCTTTTCGGATACTAACATATTCTAATCCGTTAAATTTTATCTTCATAGCGACCCATCTTTCCCATTTATCTCGATTTCGTACGCGTTTTCTAGTCATATTAGTATCAGATTTATTGTATTGGGTATTAACATCTTCAGCGACAGTTTCTGCTTTATCAGTGTCCGGTGTGTTAAGTTCTGCACTGAATTCTATAGAATCGCTCTCAAAAGGATAGGTAGAAAAGTTGTCAGGTGAATAGGTAGAACCGATGTCAATAGAATGCTTACTGTAAGTATCTGAAGGAGATGCATTCTGTTGAGATAAATTCTGATATTGTGCCTGTACATTTCGCCTAGTAGCATCAATATTATTTGCCATAATGGTATTTATCTCCTCAGCAAACTCACTTGCAATATTTTCTCGAAGTTGGATGATGTTCTGGGTAGCCACATTTAAGAACTCTAGTTGTCCTTGCAAATTATCTGCCAAAGTCTCAACAACTGGATCATGGCTGATAATAATGTGCTCGTCTGATTCTAAGTGTGAAACATTATTTAAAATAATAATATTATTGGTTTTATTGGTGGCATCTGTTAATTCTATCAAGTCGTTATTGTTATTGACAAAACACTTTTTAACCATAATGTTTTCTGTACCCTCTGAGTCCACTGTATATTCTGGATCCACATTTCTTCTTATTATAGTATAGGTTCCCTCTTTTGTTTATAGCAGTATTGTCAGTAATAATTTTTTTTCCCTTCATCGATTTGCGCTAATTTTTTCTTAAAGTGGAGTTTTGTTATTTCATTATTTATTTAAAAAAAAAACATTAATTTAAACTAAGGGCTTCGTTGCCTACTTTGTAAAAAACTGCCATTTTTCTTGCCAAACGCAACATATATTTGGCTCCTGTTTCGCCACAACGTTGTATTAAATTAAATGAATCTATTTAGCAATTAAATAGCTATTTATTATAAGCGAAATTACATAATATTACAATAATTAGAAACACCAAACCCACGATTCTTTCAAAAAACCATGCCAAGTAATTAATCTCAAAATTTGCTGCGAATAACATCAGATATTTTGAGATTTGTTCAGGACCATAAGGCAACCACTCAAAATATTGCTCTATGGAACTCACATAATTATCGAATCCATTCAAATCAAAAGGCAACATGTCTAATTGTTGCTTTGTTAAACTAGAATAATTATAAATTCAGCTTAACGCAAAAAATAAATATTTTATTTAAAATTGACAAGTCCAGACATTTCGAATTGTTGCTGTATACAAAAGATTAACTACTTAATGTTGGACATATTGTCGTATTAAACTAAAAATAGCCAAATTTGGACTTGTTGCTGCATAGAACTGGACCATCGATATGTAAAAACAGCACTTTGTATTATAGTGAGGTTACCTAATTATGATAGCACTCAAAGGACTCACTATTGCAAAAGTCTACAAACCACCCACAGTAAAGTGGCCAACACCAGCCATACCCACAGCCTCACCAATCAGAGTCACCAATAGATCGACGCACAGGACTGTATGTAAGTTACAATGCTAAGGAAATTAAAACTTTTCGATCAAGCAGATTTCAGAGCGAAACTAACTCTGACCGAACCATAGTCTCCACCGATGAGAACAAACTACCTCTATATTACCCAAGGAAAGTACTCAAACATTTCCCAAGAAGCCAACACTGCCCAACCAAAATCAGCATTGCTATTGAATTCCCAATTGAAAAATCTATTAATAAACCCAGATGGAACATCTCATTCTTAAGAAAAGGAGAGTGGATGGTGGTCTGCGCTGGATACCTCCGAAGGCAGAAAACTACAAAAAGTTTGTGGGAATTCTTATGGGTGCAGCAAAGCGGAATATCCTGAGGGGTGCAAGACATCATTATGTTCTAGGCTGGGACGAATCTACCCAAACCCTCTACAAAGAATACCAAGTAACCGGCGACGCCCAAACTGGTAAACAAATGTTGCAAATCAGGACACTCCTGGGGAAAATGGGCACACCAACCTACAATCGCTACCCAGAACCAAATATAGCATGTTCATAAATGGCAATACAGATGCGAACACAAGCTGAAAGGCTCGCTTTAGAAAACAGGACCAAAATCCAGACAAGGCAAGATCTAAGCCAGATTGGTAACACCCTATATACCTTATCAGTAAAGACCGGATAAAAAAGCACAGCAAAATGGAAAAAAGTGCCTAAAAAAGCATGAAAATATTTAAAAAAAACACAGAAAATTGTACAACAAACAAAGTGCTTAAAAAAGCATAAAAATATAAAAAAAAACACAAAAAAAAGCATTTGAAAAAAAATTAAAACAAGTTGTAATAATAATATATTGTTATTTTTATTTATTATTATACATTTAACACGTTCTATTTAGTTTCAGTCTACTTATTTACTATTAACAATGCTTAAAAGAAGATATAACTAAATTTTTGTCCAAATTTTCCGTAGTAAAATTATGTCTCCTGTCTGATAAAATGTCTATGTATGCAGAAAAACTTATCAAGCGTTAAAATTATTGGCATAGTACAAGGCAGCATCTAGCGAAGTTTCCCAACGTGTTAATACAGGTTCTGGGGGTAAAGGAATATCAGAACATCTTGTCTTAAAAAGTTCTATCTATCTAAGCACTATCAATGGAGCTTTCATTTAAAAAAAATGCCATTTTTTATAAATTTATTGACTAACGGATACTGCAATCTTATAGTTTCAGCTATGCGGTTAAGCCCATGTGCTAAGCAGGTGCAATGGATTAAATTATAGTAAACAATTTTAAAATTTGATGCAGCTTTAATCATCTATGCTGCTGCGTCGGAAAGCATCAACAATTTTCTCATTTGGAACCACCTCGGGCAAAAAAAACTTGTTTAACTTCATGTACAAATCTAGAAATAGTATTACTGTTCGTTTTTGTTAATTCCTTCAAACTTATTAAAAATGGTTCTGTGACAATATCTTCATTTAAGACTCCTATAATCAAGTTGGCTATTTATCTCCCACATGTGTCAGTCGTTTCATCTACAGTAAACCATATATAATTATTTGCGCTAATTTTTTTAAGTTGCTGCATTGTTTTATCATAAACTGGGCTGACAAAATTTTTACGAAGAGTACTCTCATCTGGAATGCTTTTTTAAAATATTTTTCTAGAAATTGTCTAAACGAACTACTTTGCAATTTATTCAATGGAATGTCTGATTTAACCATAGCACTGCACAAATCAAATTGAAATTGTTTTTGTTCATTAAACCGAGAATTTGAAGCTAGCGAAGTCAAAATAGTTTGTTGCTTATTTTGATTTTTCTCATATTTTTTAATGTGCTCCTTATGTCGTTCAGTTTGTAAATGCTGAGTTACGCCGTATTTTTTGTCACAAACAATCTGCAATGAAATAAGAAAATAGTATCTACTCCTATTTTAAAATTTGTTAAAACCAATTTTTTTATATTGTATCTGAAAGTCGTAACTAATGTAAAAAAGGAAATCGCTGAAGTCAAAAAATTCAGAAAAATAAAATTATATTTTAAACAGGAAACAAAGACGAGAATAAGAATTTGCGAATTTTTACTTACAGTTTTAGAACATGCTTGACAAAAATTCTTTTTATTGTAATTTTTTAGTTCCTTGTGACCCTTAATTCAGTCTTCAATGGTTGGCTTTTGTTTTGCCATTGTTTAAATAGTTACCACGTACAGCTAATTAAATCCAAATGCAGACGATGCAAACAAACTGGAAATCAGACCACCTCGTCGTAACTAACGAAATAAATAACAAAAGTCTTGGTGGCATAGCGCAAGGCTAAACTTAGTTTGGTATAATTCGTTTAGAAATTAAATAATCT